ATACCTAGGCAGCAGTAGCTAGTTAGGAGGCGCTAAAACCCCCGAGGATAGTAGTTAGAGTCTATATTACGGACCTATAGGAGCAAAAGGAAATCTAAGGACTTATAGGGAAAGAGATTATAGAAAGAATTGTAGTTAAAGAGGTAATTAGGGCTAGGAACGAAGGTAAAGGGGTAATTAAGCTGTTTATAGTATAAGAGCAGGACAAAAAGAAGCTAGAAATACAAAAAGAATAGACAACTAAGATAGGGAAAACAGTAAAGGTCTCCTAATAGCAATTTATAATTATAGCCTATAGTATAATAAGAAGCTTTAAGGAAGAACAGGATATTAAGAGCCTATAGAGACAAAACTAAGCTATATACTTAGGCCTAAAGATTATAAAAGTAGCATAGATTAAGAGGAAAATCGAAGAGACTAAGAAGCAGTCTTCCCTAATTATCTAGGTAGGGAGTGTAGAGCAAGCCAATATAGTACTAGACTAGGGGTTGTTCTAGGACTTTAAAAGATTGGAAACAGAGATATATAGAAGCAACTATAGGATAATACAGTGCTTTAAATGTTAACACTATAGACACTTAGCAGCTAAGTATATAAAGACAACTAATACCTACTCCTATTGTATAGGGGATTACTAGGTTAAAGAATACAAAGCATATAAGGGAGAAGCAAGATATGCATACTACACTAAAAGACACCCCTCTTAGGCGAAGGAATGCCTAGTAAGAATACAGGCAGCGAGGAAGGCAAAGGAGGCTAGAATTAATATACTAAAAAGATATACAACAAGCTAGGGCAGCTAGGTATAGAAGCAACCTAGCTAAGTGCTATAAAAGAGGTCTAGGCAAGATAATAGGTTTACATTCAGGGCCTTACTAGCATAAGAGAGTCACTAGCAATTAGGGAGACTAAGATACCTTAATATTATAGGAAAGGAAGCAGGGTAGACAAAGCTTAGTCAAATGTTAGTCCAAAGTTAGGGAAGACTAAAGGAAAACTTATAGGGAAATAATATAGATAAAACCTAATAAATATTGCAATATTACTAAACATTATATAGTACAATGTTAACAAGAGCAAAGATAAGGTACAGAGGAGCTTCCTTTAAGTACTAAACCTAAAAGAACATTATATTATTACAATCTAAGAGCCCTAGCTTAACCTATATACAAAGAGACTAGCAATAGTCAAAGACCTAAGATACTACCTAATTATCTACAACTAGGGAGCCCTAAGGATATGTATCTATATTAGTAAGGAGATAGATATAGAAACCTAGTAGGCTATACTATAGGAGGATAGGGACCTAATATTAGTTTAAGTAGAGACATCCTAAGGTACACTCTAAGTCTACTATATATACAACCTACTACTAGACTTAAGAAGCAGTACCTAACTAAAAACCCTAGAAAGACTACCTAGAGTTATCTAGGGGAACACCTACTAAATCCTACTTAGGGATTTCAACCTCTACTACCCCCTCTAGGGCTTAGACTTTACCCTAGCTTACTACTTCCTAGTAGGAAGACTAATTAATATACTAGAGAGGGAAGGAATAGAAATTGTTACCCTAAAGGGACTAATTACTTAGAAGGTAAGAGGAAGTAGTAGCATACTAGACCTATACTTTGCATTATATTAGATTAGGAATAGGATTACAAGATGCAGGGTTAACTAGGAACTAGAAGAATTATTAGACTACTTCCCGGTACAGATTGAGCTAAATATCTAAGCTAATTAGGAAAGGGAACTAGAGGAGAAGCTTAACTAGAAAGGTGCCTAATAGGGCAGGATTAGGGAGGAACTAGAAAGAGACCTAAAACTAGAGGAACTCTTAACAAAGTACCTACTAAGGCTAGAGGATATTAACAAGGCAGTAGAAGAACTAATAGGAATCCTAAAATAGGTAGCTAGAAAGCATATCCTAGTAAAGAAACATTTACTATACTAGCAACTATACTAGACTAGTAAGTGTATAAGGAAGGTTAAAGTAGTAAGGAAGGCTAGGAGGCAGTAGATACAAACCTATACCTAGGAAGTATAGGATAACTATAACAAAGCCTACTAGGAAAAGAAGATCTAGATTAAGAAAGATAAGATATAAGAATAGAGATCTATAATAGGAATAATTACAAAGAAACTAGAGGAGATATAGAGGATAGCTAAATAGGCAAGGAGACCTAAATAGGACAAGGATATACTACTACAATTCCCGGACATTATAGACTAATAAGGACAAAAGCAGACTACAATAGAAGGGAAAGTAAGAGCCCTAGGCTAACACTTCTTCTATAGAAAAGTACAAGCAGACCTATTAGACATAAAGGAGAAAGAACAAGAGACTCTACTACTAGGCACACTAAGGGACACCTAGGTTAAACCTGAAACTATTAAAAGGATCCTAAAGAAAATTCCAGGCAATAAGGTACTAGGAGAAAACAAGATCTATAACAAACTTCTAAAAGCATATAGGAAGGAGCTAGCCCTAGCACTAGCTAATATCTTTTTATAAAGCCTAGCACTAGGACACTACCTAAGACTATTTAGGAAGTCCCTAATAGTAGTGCTAAGGAAGCCCTAGAAGGAAGACTATATACAGCTTAAGGCCTATAGACTAATAGCCCTACTTAATACAATAGGCAAGGTACTAGAAAAAATTATCGCTAAAAGGCTAACAACCTTTGCCGAGGAGAGGAACATCCTTCCTAAAGGCTAGATAGAAGGAAGAAAGAAGAGGTCAATACTAACAGCTATAGAACTAATTATAGAATAGATTAAATATATCTAGCACTATAGTTAAAACTAGGTAGCAACCCTCCTCTCCCTTAATATCTTAGGAGCCTTTAATAATGTCTCCTATAAAAGGCTCCTATATATACTTAAATAGAAAGCTATACTAAACTAGATAGTCTAATTTATCTAGTCCTTCCTACAGGAAAGATCAATATAGCTTATTCTAGGCAAATTCAAATCAGACCTAATACTAACTAAAAAGGGAATCCCCTAAGGATTAATACTCTCCCTAATCCTCTTCCTTATCTTTATAGCAGACCTACTCCTACTCCTAGAATCAAAAAACACATTAGTATTAGGGTTTATAGATGATATAAACATCCTAGCCTAGTTTAAGACAACAGAAACCAACTATAAGATCCTAGAAGAGAAGTACTAGGAGTATAAAAAATAGGTAAGGAGGTATAGAGCAAAATTCGCCCTAGAAAAGTACTAGCTTATCTACTTTAGCAAGGCTAAATCAACCTATAATATAAAGCAATTAATTACTATCTAAGGCTTTGAAACCTAACTATTAGCAGAGCTTAGGGTACTAGGGATCTAGCTAGATCTAAAACTAAATTAGGGACTATAAGTAAAGAAGGCGAAGTAGAGGGCAGATACTAATATACAATCTATTAATAGGCTTACAGCCTCTATATAGGGGGCTACATTCGAGAAAGCTAAAGTTATATATAAAGCAATTGTTAAGCTAGCAATGCTATATAGAGTATAGATATAGACAGCCTAGGAGAAAACACTAAAGAGGATTAAGCAACTAGTTAGTAGGTCCTAAACCTAAAGCCTAAAGAAAATCCTAGGAGCATATAAAACTATATTAACAAGGGTAGTAGAAATAGAATTAGGGATCCCACTAGTTAAACAATACTTTAAGGGACTAAGACACTAATATATAGTAAAGACAATAGAATACCTAGCCTAATAGACTATCTAAAAGGCACTAGATAAGATAAAAGCCTAGTGTATTAGGAATAGGAGGCGAGACAGACTATAAATGACTCCCTAGAAAGTTAAAGACCTAGAGCAATATAGAGTCTTAATAAGAGAAATACTAGAGAAAGAGCTTTAGGGACTAAATACAAGGCTAAAGGAAGATAAGCTAAAGGGAGAGAAACAAAGCCTAGCAGAATCAATTGCTAGATACCTATAGGAGCAGGAATAGAATAAAACATAAGTCAGACTAGGAACCCTAAAGGCACTAATCAAATTTAGTTAATATAACTACTAGCTCTATAAGGACCTAAATAGGGCCGAGGCAAGCCTAGCTATCTAAATCAGATCTAAACATATTAGACTTAGATCTTACCTATTTAGAAGAAACGTCCTAGGAATTAAAAGCAAAGCTTGCTAATATAGCTACCAATCTTAGAACCCTAAGTATATACTGCTAGTCTGCCCTTAATAGTTAGAAGGCAGAAGTAATTAGAGACTAAAAGCAATAGAAAGGGAATACGACAAGCTAATTTAGAGCAAGGAAGACCTAAAGAGGATAGTAAAGTGGATTATTAAACAGGGATTCGTATAACAATTCGTACTAATAAGGGAAACTAAGGAGTAGATAAGGAGGAGGGAAGAAGAGGGGGAAAGAAGGGTAGGGTAGTAGGCAAGGTAGTTAGAGGGTAACAACTATAATACTAGTATACCCTAGAGGAAGGAAAATAAGGAAACGAGGAAGATTAATACTTATAAATAGGATAGGAGGGAGGTTTTTACTAACTAAGTTAGTTTCCTACCTAAAACAATATATAGAAACAGACCTACATAGGCCGAAAGGCACTACAACAGGCAAATAAAATATCTATCTATCTATCTATCTATATACTAGAAGTAGATAGCGAGTAGCGAGATTAGGTAGCGTACTATTAATAGCATATTATTAAAAGAGACAGCTATATTATGCGTATTATTAGACAATAATATGCTATATATTATCGAAGTATACAGGGCCTAACAATGGCAAAGACGTGATATAGAGATGAGTTCTTTGTCGCTTCCCTAGTTCCAATCCAGCGAATGAGATGCAGTTTAACTTGCTCAATCATTCGCAGGGCTCCTTGCCAAGCACCAGGATCCTCGTCCTTGGGCCTTCCCGTCCCAATCTGCATCCGGGGATGCAACTGCAGGTGGTTGAATGTGGCGTGTGCGATTGAGCAAATATGACTAGATAGATCTTGCTCCATCCACTACCAGACTCAACCACGATACGACCGACCCCCTATCCGCAACAATGGATCATTCCATGAGCTCGAACATGGCATCTATGACTGGTATGGGAACAATGACTGGCACTGCCACAGCGTCCGCTGCAGCTGCGACGTCCTCCAGCATGTCGATGGGTGATATGGGTATGGGTGGCGCAAACTCCTGCAAGATCTCGGTGCGTTGACCACGAGGTAAAATCGACCGTGTTAATCCATTAGCTGACAAGTGAAGATGCTTTGGAATTGGTATACCATCGACGCTTGCTTCCTCGCCAAAAGCTGGCACATCACATCCAGCGGCATGTTCGCAGGCTCTTGCATCGGCGTGATACTCCTGGTGATGGTTCTCGAGGGGCTGCGGCGAGCTGCAAAAGAGTACGATGCATTCTTGATTCGCAGTCGTGTCAAAGCAACGCCAGTTCCGATTTCGAACGAAGGGCAAGCCTCGGATAGCGACACCACCAGAAAGGGTCCTACTGCTGTTGCTGTTGCAGAGCGGCTTCCCGCACGACGAAAGAGCTTCAGGCCGACCATCTTCGAGCAACTAGTTCGGTCACTGCTGCATATGCTTCAATTTGCTGTCGCATACTTCATCATGCTTCTTGCAATGTACTTCAATGGGTACATTATCATCTGTATCTTCATTGGCGCTTTCCTCGGAGCCTTTGCCTTCAACTGGACAAGCATCGCATTATCGTAAGTATGCTCGTCTTCTTGGTGAGCGATGGCTGATCGTATCCAGCAACGACGAACGAGAAATCACTTTCTGCTGTGGGTAGACGTCTTGCGCAATGTTGCCTGGAAAAGGAGGAGAACTCCACTGGAATTATGGGTTGCGGCCAAGGTTCTTCATGGCTTGAGATGCCTAGAGCCTTGCCAGTATAATTTCCTCGCCAGCTACATATAGAATTATATTTGGCATTGCCATAATAAAATACTACTGCTTTTCGATTTTGGAGTGCTGACGACTTCGGTGTGCCGAGCACTTCTGTTTCAACTTTCTGGAGCTTGAGATCGCCGGGTTAAGCTGAATATGTGCAACTTTCATCCTGGGCACATCTAATAAATATCTCTTGATATTGCGTTTCGCATTGATCTTGTTATAGCTTTCATGCGTCCTGAAAAACTATTTCGGTTAGCATTGTCGATTAGCGAACGCACTTTGTCATCTGCACCGTAGTACGGCAGAATGATTCCAAGTTGGAAGGAACCTTAACCGGACAGGCAAAGTGCTTTATCCGATCCTGCTAACGTCATCGAAAGCAAGAAGCACGATGGCAATTGCATCAATGCTCGATCAGCTTGCGGAGAATCGAGCCAATTCGCCGAATCGCTTTATTAAGCAGCATCAGAACTTAAAAGTTTGCAACACCAGCCCAGTATTTATAGAAAGGACAGAGAATCGCTAGAAACTGGAAAAAAGAATAGGAAACAAGACAAGAAAGAGTCAAGGACGACGAAATTCTGGCAAAATCAATATACGAACATCATGTCCAACCAAGCCGCGTGGATCGACAAGGAGCCAAGCAACCCTCTGAGGGTAAGACATAGCATCCAGATTGTGAAGGCAATGAATACTGACTGCTGGTCTACTTCAGGTTGGACCAGCCGATATCCCAGTCCCAGGCGATGAAGATATCGTTGTGAAGAACCACGCAATTGCAATTAATCCCGTGGACTGGAAAATCCAGGATTACAAGTTCATTGTCCAGAACTGGCCTTTCATTCTGGGGACTGATGTTGCCGGTGAGGTACATGAAGTCGGCAAGAACGTGACCAAATTCAAGAAAGGCGACCGAGTGCTCGGGTAAGTACCACCGTGTTTCAGTTCCAAGCATCTCGGTCTCTGACAATGATGCAGCCATGCCATTTCATTAGCAACGCAAAAGCCAGAGGACGGAGGGTTTCAGCTGTATACCAGAATCCAGTCGTCTTACGCTGCCAAGCTTCCAGACAGCATTTCGTTTACCGAAGGCGCAGTGCTCCCTCTCGCCATTGACACTGCTGGACATGGCCTATATGCCAAGGAGGATGGTTTCTTCGGACTTCCATATCCGTCCTTGGAGCCAAAGTCGATCAATAAGACCATCGTCGTCTGGGGCGGCTCTTCGTCAGTCGGTGCTCTCGCGGTCCAGCTGGCAATCGCATCCGGCGTCAAAGTAATCGCAGTTGCGAGCAAGCACAATCATGACTTCGTGAAAAAGCTGGGCGCCAGCGAAGCCATCGACTACAATGATCCGAACGTTGTCGATGATGTGGTGAAGGCTGTCAAGGCTGCCGGCGGCGACTTCATTGGCGTCTATGATGCCATCTCATTGGAATCATCTTTCAAGCATGTCGTCCCAATCGCCGAGAAGCTTGGTGGCGGTACTGTAGCTACCACGATGGATGGTCCAGAGAGCAAGCCATCAAGCATCAAGTTTGGAAAAATCTTCGCTATTAATGCTGTGAATCATCCGCTTTGGGAGAAGTACATCACACCTGCGTTGGAGCAGGGTAAGCTGAAGGCAGTACCAGAGCCGCTAGTCATCGGCAAGGGCCTCGAGAGTGTTCAGAAGGGTATGGACAAGAACAAGGCTGGCGTCAGTGCTAAGAAGGTCGTGGTCGAGCTCTGAACAACTGCCTTTGGAAGCATCGTAGATCAAACTCAATAGAGAATTGATTCATTACGAGCCGAGCTACTGTGTATGATCAGATATGGTCCTGTTCCCAGTCTGTGTAGTGTTGAGCGACTCCCAGCAGTCGCGAGGCGCCCATGTGGGATGCATCTCTTTCACCCGCCTTTCGTCTCTTTTTCATACTGGCTTTTCACGCTTCCACCTCACCTTCTCGTATCTCACGCTTCAGCATCCTGATTCTCGGTCCGTATGGCCACGATCACGGCACAGCCCTTTGATCCTCTGCTGAGATGTGACGCGATTCCGACACCTTCGTAAGGAGACATTCGCTTGTGCAAAGCTGTTCTCAACGTGGGACGACAAGGAGACGCGCTATCGTTCCGTACGCAGGGAATCGCGCTCCATCAGATCGACATTGGTGCAGGAGCTCGATAATTCGGTGTAGGTTTGGTGCTTGGACGCTGGATCGTGCTGGTCGCATGAGGGAAGAGGCATCACGAAGTTTGCAGGAGCAAGGTCGGGATCGGATCGAGAGCGATCGGGGCAGCGCATGGAGCCAAATGGAGATCCCCATGAGCACCGGCTAGTCTTCTGCAATGGAGAGCACTTCCCAAAATGTCTCTATTCCCATCTGGCGGAGGTCAATTGTCAGCCTACACGCGACTAGAAGCTCGGACCACCAAGGAGTTCAACATACACCTCGTTGTGGCCGTCGCCTCCCTGGCACATGAGAATACCCGACGAAATGATGCCATATAGCAAGAGCCCGAGCAGCAGGCTATAGAAGACCTTGCCCAACCTCAAGAATAGCTTACGAAGTGCGCCCCAAGTGCATGTTCCATTTGAGAGGCGTGAAAATGATCTATATACTGTGTAAAGAAGTCACATGACCCTCAAAACAGGGCTTCTACCTACTACTTTGGGGCCGCTTGGCTCAATGGTAGAGCGTCTGCCTCCTAGCTCGTCCGAATAACGAGCACTGGCAAGCAGAAGGTTGTGGGGTGTGTATAGACTATTGTGTGTGTGCCATGTAGGGTCTTGTTGGCTAATATGTCTCACAGTTCGAGTCCCATGGTGGTCGTGCTTCCTTTTTACTACTTCCGACACTGTTCTGTACCTTCAGAAGAAGTGTAAACTCAGAGGAACTGTACACTATAATCACTGTCCAGCATGTACAATTTTGATGGCATCGTGAAAGCGCATCGTGAGAGTGCTTTCAGCCTGATTGACTTTTTGCTGGGCATTTGGCCACGCCATGTGGCCGCTGAAGCTCGAATAGCAGCTCTTGGAAAAGGGCCCGCATGGAACGTAGCATCGCTCGAATTGTAAATCAGCGATAGCAGCGAGTAGCAACCCGACAAAAAATCGGGGTTCGGAAAAGTATGATGAAGAAACAGCTGAGCTTCCACTGTGCGACCGAAGGTAATCAGGCTGAGAGCAAGATCGAGGAAACATTCAAGCTCCTACCGCGAATCAAATGTCCTCAGGCTGAGCCTCAGACATCTACGACCCTGAGGACGACTGAGGACGATTTGATGCCATTTCATATATCAATAACGGTCTCGACGCTCCCTTTCAGATTTCATCTCATCAACGAATACAACCACTATCAAGACTCTACCACAGAAGACCATCCCAAAGCTCTTCCAACTCAAGAACACCAACGCTGCAACAGCATCAACACACCTTCAAACTCAACACCAGCCACATCAAGCATCATGAAAGATCACACCAACATGGCCTCCAAGGTCAAAGCTCAACGCAACATGCCCAGAAAGCGCGAGCCCAAGAAACCTCACGCCCACCAACAATGCACACCCGTCCCCGAAGCAGAGCCCACACCAAAACCTTCATCCACCGAGTCTACCGACGTCGAGCATGCCAAGAAAAACGCCAGGACTCGCGCCGGTAGAAGGTTTTCCATGGGCCTTGAGCCAGAAGTCGATGTCTTCGATGAAGTCTGGGCTCTCATTGCTGAGAGAGAGGCGCGAAGACGTGTGAGCGTCTGGGGACACAATGCCGAGGATATGAGAGATTACGATGAGGCGGGAAAGAGAGTTGTTGAATGGTTGGCAAACGTGCGATAAGAAGCCTGCTAGGAGGGCTATGGCAATGGTCTGCCTCCAAGGCTTGGATTGAATGAGATTTTGGGATCGGAGTTTGGGAGGTAAATGATTGATTGAGAAATTTGAAGTATGGTGGCGTTTTGCAGGCATCTGGGAGAGATTTAGTAGTAACATTATGGAAGGTAGACTGAAATCAAAAGGTGTTGAGAATGATTTTTGTGTCGTGCCTCAGGAGTTCCTTATGCTCATAGTGTCGAATATGGTGGGGTGAAATCTGTTCAGATCGTAGGCGGAAGAAACTGAAAGCAGCGGAGGAAGCTTGGCGCTTCACACTTGATAAAAATTTCCATAGAAGCTGTGGTGAAATGAAGCGAAAATAACGATCATGCCACAATACACTTCTGTGCTGCCCCAGTTACGGGATTGCATGAATTTCCAGCAGCCCCGATAGCCGGCGAAGCTCATAGGAAGAGGACCCAGGGTACTAACATCGTCGCTCTGCCGCATATGTCTATCACATTGCATAGCATTAGCGAACCAACGTAGTATTGAACACAATCTCACCAAGTTGATACACATGAAGTACTTCAGCATCCTCAGTTCTCGGCGTGTCGTCGCCTTGCTCTCCTCTCTTCAGACACTCCCTGCTCACGCTACTGCTTGGTCATCTGGTACCGAGTTCCAGCTCGCCACGCGAATCAAGGACTCAGCGCATTCTCAGGGTGCAGTTCCTTGATCATATCAAACCACCCTCCACCACCAAACTGCGCCTTACTTGGGCCCTTGTTCTCGAAGCCTAACTTCTCATAAAATGGTATGAGATGCTCATGCGCAATCAGCGCGGCCCGGTCAGCCACGCCATGGCTCTCAATGCGCTGCAAATACGCCTTCATTAATGTCTTGCCTAGACTCCGGTTCTGGTATTGCGGCAAAACGGCCAGACTGTGTATGCATACGGTCCTACCTTCCTCCTTGTGACCCAATTTTGGATCGGAATTGCCCGGTGTCGGTATTGCCATGTCGGTGTCAGTGACCGTCGGGTTAGTCGTTTTGGTCGCAACGATGTAATGTCATCGTCATCATTTTGGCTGGTTCGACAAATCATTGACATGAGTCTATGATATGGAGATTTTGGCTCTTTCTTCCGCGGAGTGAAATGCCCATGCTAAGATGGCCACAAAGTGTCAAACGATACTGGAACTGGAGAAGGTGGAGTCAGCATCAGATGTTTTGGGACAGTGCATGGATGTATCTGAAACGAAGGCGTTGCACAGTCTGCACAGAAGGGGTGGAAGAGTGGAGTGGCAGCGCCGCACCTTGCTTTTACCACATTGGGCGTCGATGCGTCGCAGCGGATGTCGTGCAGAGGGCGATAGCTCAACGACCTCCTTCTTCCAGGACCATCGTGAGCGTGGTGAAGGTCAAAGATGGTCACGTGCCGATGTTCCATATCAGTGTCAGCCTGTCAAACGACAGAAGCAAGACGCTACGGAATTGGAAGACAACGCATACCGCAAAAGTGTATCACCAACATGTCACCGGGACATCGCTCGTCCCAATCGATCAAAGTGGCGCTGTCTGCGGCGAGGGACTGACCTTTTCTCTCGTACAGCGTTCCTGGGGCGGAAACGTCGCTTCCTCGAGCCGGACGCAGCTCTCAACATCCGACAGCGAGAGTGTTTGAGTGTAGGGATGGAGCTCGTCTCGCTTCTCATTGCGCTGTGACAATTCAGTGATGAAGCTGTCGTCGTCGTCGTGGGCATCCACTGGACCAGCTCGCTCGATGTCTTGTTCGTCGTCGTCGTCGCCAGCCCTGGAAAGTCCAGACATGCCGCTCAGCGTATCATGGTCCACGAGACGGCTCAGATCACGCGGCATTGCGTGAGCGCGAAGGGTCAGAAATGGTGGGATGGAGAATGGTGGCTGTACTTGTGCGCGGTGCTCGACTTGGTGACACCAAAGTGGTGCTGGCGATCCGCGCCTGCAGGAGTGAGTACAGTGACGTTTGGCCGTTTCACGCGTGGCGGTATGCTGCACGAGAGTACAGTAGTGCGCATATATGCCACGCGGGCTGATCTTCGCATTCGGCCTGCTCTCCTTCTCCGGCGGAGGATGTAGTTCGTTTTGATACAGCATGGTGACGGCGAGACTCTGTTGCGACGATGGCCGTGGCCGTGGGCTCGGGCCGGCGATCAGGCAGTCACGGATTGCATTGCGGATCTCAGACGCCGACGTGCTGGTCGACGCGACGGCCAGCGCAGCACGTGAGATGGAGGGGCTAGTTCTAGGGCAAGAGGTGCAGGTGCAGGTGCAGGTGCAGACTGCAGACTGCAGACGGACTGCAGCAGGACTCGCGGCAAGGCTAGCAGTCCTGATACTACCGGGTCGTTGGATCAAACCAAGGTCGAGCAACGACATACGTCTTCACCGCCAGCAGCGCGTGCAGTGCCACGCGAAGAATCCCGTCGTCGAGCGCAGCAACAGCCAGACGCACACCAGCAGCGACCTACGATAATAATCCGTATGGCGCCACGGGCGTTGTAGGCTGACGCTGCTTCAGAGTAGCTGTCATAGCCGTTGAGAGTAGTCTGCGTCTGCGTCTGCGCTGTCTGCCCATTCTATCTCTACCAGTCATCCTTTTTGCCTCATATTCTCGCACGTTCTATTGTTGATTAGATCATCCATCCATCCATTCTTCTTGATTGACCCGAACCTACACCTACACCCTGACCCTCACCACCACCAACAACAACACCAGAACCACCCTTCCAGCCCGTCGGACCGCATCGCATCGCAACGCATCGCATACAGCCGCGCACACGCATCGCCTATTTCCACCTTGTTTGGCGACGGCACACAACATAGCATCGCATCTCACACGCTTGTAGCTTTTGCGACTGCTTCCTCCACGTCCAGACTCCTGCGTTGCCGCGGGTGTCACTGTCCGGCCGCCGGCCGTCAGCCTGTCAGAAGGCGATCGAGCTTCTGCTTTGGGCGGCTTGCATAAGGCCTCATAACGCAAGCAAGGAACCACAACAACCAACCCAAGGAAGCCGGACTGAACAGGCAACATGTGAGTACAACTAACCACAGCTTAACCACAGCTTCCCACAACGAGCGAGCGATGGTCTCACCGTCAAACATGAACTGTACCACGCTGCAGACACCGCTGCTGACCTTTGTGACCGTGGCAGGCCGCGCATTACTATACAAATCATCGCCCCGAACCACCAACTTGACCAGGAGCTCATCAACCTCGACCTCCCTCCTGGTCTTTCCATAGCCGACTTGAAGGGCTTCGTCACAGCCGAGACCCAAATCCCCTCCAATTCACAGCAGTTCTACCTCAACAACCAAACACTTCGAGGCGACGAAAAGAGCTTAGAAGAGGCGGGCGTCAGAGATGGAGACTTGATTGCTATGCTCATGAGTCAACCGCGCCAGCAGAACAACATGGGTGGTCAGAGACGTGGTCAGCAGTCGCAGCAGCGGCGAGGACCACCGAACAGCCCAGAGGAGATCGAGACTACGCGACTGAGCATTTTGGGCAACCCGGCAGCTATGAACCAGATCAGAGAACAGCGACCGGCATTGGCTGCTGCTATGAACGACAGCAACCGCTTTCTCGAGGTGTGGCAGGAGATGATGCGGGAAGACGAAGACCGAGAGCGCGAGCGGATGGAGCAGATACGCTTGCTGAATGAGGATCCTTTCAACATCGATGCGCAGCGAAAGATCGAGGAGATGATCCGGCAGGAGTCGGTGCAGGAGAACCTGCAGTTCGCCTACGAGCACAGTCCGGAGGGTATGCTTGCTTGATGCACATCTGCGCCAAGGATTTCCCCCAGCTAACGTGTGTTGCAGTGTTTGGTCGTGTGACCATGCTATACATCCCAGTTGAGGTCAACAAGCATCCCGTCAAGGCCTTCGTCGACTCTGGCGCGCAGACTACGATCATGTCGCCATCGTGTGCCGAAGCATGCGGCATCATGAGACTGATCGACAAGCGCTACTCTGGAATCGCAAAGGGTGTGGGCACGGCTCAAATTCTTGGTCGTGTACACTCCGCCGATATACGAATCGGCAACTCTACCATGTCCTGCTCATTCACCGTCATGGAAGGCAAGGCTGTCGATCTCTTGCTTGGCCTTGATATGCTCAAGCGATTCCAAGCAATCATCGACCTAGGCCAGAACAAGCTCATTTTCGGAGGTGGCAACGAGGTGAGCTTCTTGGGTGAAGCCGACATCCCAAAGTCGTTCGAGGAGGCCCAGCAGTCCGAACCGACGATTTCTGGCCCGAATGGTACTGAAGTTGGCGCACAGTCTGGCACTGTCAAGCCAGCAGGCACTTCTGCAGCGGCGTCGTCTTCAAAGGAGCCAAACGGATCATCATTTCACGGGCAAGGTCAGGCACTAGGGTCATCGTCAAGCGGCAAAGCTCCAGCTGCGCCAGCTGCTTCAGCGGCTGCCCCAGCTTCGAAAGGCCACTCTGACGAGAAGATCCAACAGCTCTTGGCTTTGGGATTCTCGAGGCAGCAAGCGATAGCAGCGCTTGACGCTTGTGATGGCAATGTGGAGTACGCGGCTGGTCTCCTCTTCCAGTCGTAGGCGTGCTGTTGACGAGTGGTGGACACAGCATATCTGATACCCCAGCTTCCCTATCCGTTGGTAGAAGCTCTGCAATAGCTATTAGCGAAGTACCATTATATAGAAGGCATTGTCCGGCAAGGCAGGCCTTCGAAAGGCACATCGAGCGCATCAGCTTGGTCGGCGGAAAGAAAAATTAACTCGTTGGCTCTCAACATGCTTCCGAAGCCCCTCCTTGCGCTCGTGCATGCGGTCATGCGGCCTTTGTCTTGAACCATTCATCCGTCCGGGGAGTTCTCAAGAGTGCGAGCAACAAGAGGATCCTCCAACTCTCCGACTAGTTATCTTCTCTCCCCTTCCTTGCCATCTCTCGGCCTTGATTTGCTGCCTTGCAGTCCCCCTGTTCGGTCGCAGCGGATAAACAGGGCGCCGTGCCGGCGAACCGCGACTTCAAAGTTCACCCTCCCTCACATCAGCACCCACGCCATCGAACACCTGACAGGGGCCATCTCCTCCTCATCGCTGCTTCGATATCGATATAGCATGATGACAGCAGGCATCTATTCGGCATGACATAAGTCTCTTGGCGCGCCCACCGCTGCTGCCTCGAAAGCATGGATTACGTGCCGCTCCCAAGACCGCCGCGTGGGCTTTGGAAGAACAAGGTAGACTTCTTCCGGCCTCTTAGAACAGCTGCGGCGGAAGCTGGAGAGAACATTGCGCCCCTGCACGATCCTGCTCGACCAAGACGCAGCACTGAGGAACCAGACCTCAAACAACTCAATGCAGCCTTGGCAGCTCTGGTCGACATCTTCCCCGATGTGCAGCCCGAGGTATTCCGAGAAATGCTCCTGAGTGTCAGTGAAGACAGCAGACTGCAAATCGTCACAGAACATCTACTGCAGAAGAAAGCGAAGTGGGTGCAAGGAAGATACAGGACTCCGCAGTCATCGCAGGAAAGGACGAAAGTCAAGAAGCGCAGATCATCTGCTGCTGTTTCTCGCGAGCATGGCCTTCTGGAGGACGAAGACCTGTTCCGGGGAGAGAATTATAAGAAAGCCGTCAAGCAAGTCTTCCACCAGGAGTTTCGCAATTTGCGCCATTCTACCATTAAAGGCGTTCTGGCCGAGCAGAACTTCTCTTACACGCTCGCCCGGCCCATACTACAGCAACTTGCAAGTAAATCCTGGAGACTGTCTTTTACGAACTTCTGGCCCAGAAAAGCCGCATATACCGCTGCAGAAGGTCATCCTTTCATAATTTGGCAGCCCGATGCTCAAGGTGGCCAAGGAGACCCCGCTGTGAGACAGACGGGAAGCGGCGAGCTCGATCGAGAGCTATACGATCTTTTCGTGGCGCCCATTGTGCTCAGGCAACGGCAAGATCGAGAGCGAGCGGACTATCTCACAGCTAGTGAGCTTAATGAGGCCGCGGCCGAAGAAGCGGAAGCTTTGTTCGATTGCGAATGCTGCTTCAGCTCGGTATCCTTCGAGAAGATTGCGACCTGCGACGAAGACTGCCATGCGTTGTGCTTGGATTGCATACGTCGTACTGTGAATGAGGCATTGTATGGCCAAGGTTGGTCACGTACTGCACATCTAGGTAAGGCGACCGTACGTTGTTTCTCGCCGATGTCACAAGATTGTCATGGCGTCATACCGCCTGATCTGGTGCGACGGGCTGTCACTCAAGGCGCAGACAACGAGGATGCGTGGCATGACTACCAAGCTCGTATCACGAGTGAAACACTACTGGAGTCTGGCCTTCCACTACAGCGATGTCCGTTTTGCAGCTATGCCGAGAGCAACGAGATTCCTCAACTCTGCTTGAAGCATCCAAAAGCCCTCTGGTCTCACATCAACTCCAACTTTTACGACAAGCTGTCTCCAGCTATACAGATCCTATTCATGGCGCTCGTGATGATGCTAGCTATCCCAATACCAATCTTCACAATTCCACTTCTGCTCCTTGTTGGTCTCGGCTGGTTGGTCATCCACATCATACCAGAAGCAGCAGCTACTTTCGATCGGTCGATATCACGAGTTCACAAACGCCGACGTGGTATCCGGTTCAGATGTCAAAATTCGTCCTGCATGAAAGTGTCATGCAGTCGATGTCTCGCCGCCTGGCGTGACCCTCATTCCTGCTTCGAATCTGAAAAGACGTCACTTCGGACGGCAATCGAAGCCTCAGCGACAGCAGCAGTCAAGCGTACCTGTCCACGCTGCTACCTGTCCTTCGTCAAATCTAGCGGCTGCAACAAGCTCGTCTGCAATTGTGGCTATACCATGTGCTACATCTGTCGCTCGGAGATCACAAGCAAAGAAGGCTATGCACACTTCTGCCAGCACTTCCGTCCTAACGGAGGCAGATGTGCCGAGTGTGAGAGATGTGACCTGTATGGCGACGAAGACGAAGAGGCTGCTATCCGAAGAGCGGCGGAAGAAGCCGAACAGATGTGGAGAGAGAAGGAAGGTGGCAAAGGAAAAGAGCAAGATGAAGTTGCTACGAGGGCTATGATCGACGCACTGGTTGGTGAGGGCAAGAAGAGGTGGTACGATGATTTCTTGGACGGCTTGCTGGACGCTGTCATTGCGGATTGATTGCATTGCAGAGCTTCCAAGCTAGCGCAATGAGCAGACGAGTCCGCAGTGCGTAGGCGAATTGATCTTTATCCCGCAAATTTTCTAGACTGAGTAGAGTGGAATTCTCGATCGTATTACAAGGTGTCCGCTCTAGTCTGGACTAGGTCAATAACTGCTCAATGGTAGTCTGACTGCCGTGACAGTCAACCTGCATGGAGCAGCCTCGAAGCGAGTATTATTATTATTGGGTGTAGGCGGATGCCAAAGGCTCCGACGCGGAACACAGGCAGGCGTGGAAGAGAACCAGAGCGCCGGCGTAAAGAAAGCCTGCGGCGCCAGCGAATCCCACGAGACCGCCGAGAGCTACTCTGAAAACCCCAATGAGGTTGAGTATACCTAGGGGTCGGATATTCCATTCCTGTAGGTTTCCACCATTCCTGTATAGAATATCCAACTCGTATACCTCAATATCCGACCATAAGCGTAGGAATAGGATATTCGATATAGTGCACAGGCCTACGGTCGCGGTTTGCCGTATTTAGACTAGTTTAGGCTTAGAAAGTCGGAATAGCCTATACCTACTCGAAATCGAGGATTTGACTACTATAATTAGCAATAGCTAAGGAGACCGTATCGTAGTCGCGTATATAGCCCTTTAACGCGTGTATATATATTGTTATATACCTTTGCTAAATACTATCTCTTTTAGCTATTTTATATTAAAGTCGCTATAGACAACCCTATTATTCTCGCTCTTGTCGTTAGTGCGGTCGCTAGAGCTACGCTTACTACCTCGACGGCTTTCTAGTACTCGTCGCGTTCTCGAAGCGGTCGGAAACGGTAGTATAGGCCTATAAGCGTAGTTTAAACGCTAACGGAGCCCTCGAAGGGTAGGAGGGAGGTGTTTCGGTATCTTAATAGTCCGGAAGACTATTGTTATATAGTAACTAGCTTGCGATAGGTAGTATTAAAGGACCTAATTGCGAAGCTCGAGGAAAGTAGATTAATAGGTAATAGCACCGTTTCGACCGCTAAGAAGACTATAATCTTCTATAACTTCCTAAGGAATAATGCCTTAATTAGGATACTACGAAGGACATATTAGCACTCGTTTAAAACCTTTACGCGCGTTATAAAGGAAGTAAGTAAGATCTTCTATCGACTATAGAGCGAATATATATAGGTACCGCGAGGTAACGAGTTGCTATACGAGAAGCTATATACCTTCGGCGCTAGTAAAGAGCCTAGCAAGTTTAACTTCTTCTATAGTGCGCTCGGTGCCCTTAACGGCTCTTATATACCTATAACTTTGTTAGCGGAAGATTAGTCGTCGTAGCGTAATCGCAAAGGATAGGTTTCTACTAACGTAATAGCGGCCTATAGGTTTAATATAAAGTTGCACTATATTTTAGTCGGTTATAAAGGGTTAGCGGCGGATACTACTATATACGACCGTATAGTAAGGCAAGGCTTTAACGTGCCCGAGAACCGCTATTATCTTGCCGACGCTAGATACTCCTTTAATAAGAAGCGATTGTTAGTACTATACTAGTCGATAAGGTATTACCTTCGAGAATAGATTAAGTCTAAACTACGGCCGGAGACGAAGGAAGAGTTATACAACCTACGGTACTCTTAGCTCCGCAACGTTATCGAGCGACTCTTCGGCGTATTAAAGAAGCGGTTCAAAATACTAGCTTAAGGCGCTTATAGAGGCTATTCGCTTATAGCGCAACTAAGGTTTATTACCGCCTGCTTTGTCCTTTATAACTTTATTGTCGGGCATAGCTCTTAGCCGCTAAACGAAGAGACTTACCTATTCGACGACCTCGACGACGTACCTTATAATAAGGACGATTATAAAGGGTTGTTAGAGCTAGAAGATAACGATCTAGGCAATGTAGGTCTCGGTAATAAAGGATAGCAATTTAGAGAAGATATAGCCGTTAGAATGTAGTTAAGTTACTTGCGTTATCTCGAAATATATAGTCTAGATATACGTAGAGCGTAGGAGAAGGACGAGGAATAGTACGTAGAGGTCGTAGGCTACCTAGTATATTTAGCGGGGGACGAGAGGGGCGTTTTAGGTAGCGAATATAGTGTTCTTTCCTATATATAGCTATTAGTCGTATATTGTTATCTCTAAACTAGGTCTCGGTTTCTCTAGTTAGTAGTTACGAGTATGCTTAACGTCACTTTAGTACAGTCTTAGCGGGGTTAACTTTAGGAAGTAAAGAGTATAGAATTTGTACTTTATATAATAGCAAATTACGTAAAGTTCGTTAAAGCCTAGTCGAATGCTAACAAAGTCGAATCAATTACAACCTCTATATTATTATTAGTATAAAGACTACACTCTCCGAGCTCCTAAATATAAAATATTAGCTCGGACTCGGAAAGCTAACCTCGACTTTAGCTAATTCTTCTAACTTAACCTAGCCTCTTGTATTCTACTTAATGCTATCTATTCTGCGGCGGATAGTTACCTATAAGCTAAGGCCGCATCTGCTGCTATTAGTACTGTTGTCGTAGCTATTCTTTACGCGCTAATTAAGCCTATTAAGCCTACTTAATACGAGCGAGAAGGGCGATAAAGTACTTCGAGAACAGCTCGGTTTTCTTAGTATCTTAAAGCTAACTAACAGTTAGCTAAGCGTGCTTAATAGGACCATTCTCGGTGCTAATCTCGGTAAGGATAAGCATCTTATCCTTAAAGGAAACATTTAGAAGGACGTCGTCGTCTATAAGGCAGTTACTAACTATCGAGATAGCGCTAGTTTATATAGCCGGCTTATCGACTAACTTAGCTAAGGTTGCTATAGTTTGCTAGAATAGCAGTATAGCCTTCTTTAGCGACTGTTTAAAGTCCTTCGAGTAACCGGCTTCTACCTTCTTCTTAGCTACCGCCTTCTACTTCTACTTCTTATTAGCCCTCGTATTCCGAGCGGCAATAATTGTCTATCTCTCGTAGTTAGACAAGCCGCTTAAATCGACGTCTTCTAGCTCGTTAATAACCTCTACCTCCTCGTCCGGCAACTCGGCTTCTAAGCTAATCTCTTCTATAGACTTACCCTTACCCTTACCCTTACTACTATTAGAATCTACGTCCGCTAGTCGCTATCTACTTATCGCGTTATCGCTAGTCGCAACGTCTCGTCTATATATCTCTTCTATTTCTATCGCGAAGTCCGGCGCCGCGTTCTTAAACTCTCGACACTCTTCGTTACTATCGAAGTATATACGCGCAATCTCCTCGTTTTCCGGCCGCGGAGGGTAGTTACTACTCTACCCGCTAATATGCTTTAGGTGCCTCGTATACGGCCTAAACTCCTTCTTTATCTTACGCTATTTGCCCTTTAGTAAGTCCTACTTAAAAAACACCTTATACTTTAGCGATATACGCGTAGCGAGCGTACGCTAGTCGGTAGCCTTAAAGGTTTAATTATCGGTTATTTTGTTATTGTCTTTGAACTTCTTAAGGCTAAGAAGCATAGCCTTAATATAGGTTGACTTATAACGAGCTAGTCGTAGAAACTGCGAGCTAATATCCTCTAACTTCTTCTTCCGCTACGCCGTCGCCTTCTTCTCGTTCGAATTTAAAGCCGTCCTACCTACGCTAGGTTTCTTCGTAGGAGTCTTCGCTATACTAAATACTAGGGGGTTCGTTAAGAGTTGGAATATGCGGTATATACTAGTAATAGTACGAGAAACAGCTATAGGAATAGCAGGAGACGCGTTCGCGATAGGGTTCAAGGAAGGAACCGAGGGCCGATTGTAAGAGCACGGACAATTCGATAATCCTACTCGTATACCTACAAATTGGTGGATTTCAGGAATTCCGAATGCTTGGATATTCTATTCTACGTTCCGACCGGAAATTCCTATTCCCGCAGGAGGTATATACAACCTGAGCGACCGGATGTCACTCTCACTGCAACAGCGTGACCAAAGACAGCGCACGGTGGAGGCGAATGCTGTGAAGGACCGACTTTTATAAAGCAGAATCTAATAAGGCCGCATTTTGAACCACGAGGCGCTTTCTTCCTTTCTTCATGTACAGCGTCTGAACACTTCGGAGTGAAAGTGGGTATTCACACGCTGTAATGATTCGACTCATTCGAGCGTGGTCTACAGGGACCCCATCCCCTTAACGAAGTCCTTGAAGTGGAGTAAGAATTGCTGTTAAATGCTGCGTACGGCTTAAGTCTAATAATGGATTCGTGCAATCAGAATCACCGCTCTAGTCGACATCCTAGTTTTGCCGACGAACGAACAGCGACGAGTTATTACAGGGGATAGCCGATAACCACGCCGGCAAATGAGTTCGAACTTCGGGCGACGCCAGTAACCCCTGACATACATACACTTCTTATGGCAAAGCTGACGACTCAACTTTCAAGGCTACTATGATGCCGGCCATTTAAGTAGTAGCTACCCTCCCATCGAAACCGTCAACTCGACGATAGCATCTTCCTCCGACACAGTCTCAGAACCCAACAATGCTGCTGAACACCGCTATTATTGTTCTCGGCCTGTCTGGCGCAGTGCTTGCCAAGCCTCTTGGCCTCAGAGGTAGCAACAACGTCGTCGAAGTCAGAACACCCATCGCCGAAGCCGCGAACACCGATTACATCTATACTCAGAACAAGCGCGAGGCTGCGAACACCGATTACATCTACACCCAGAACAAGCGCGAGGCTGAGAATACCGACTATGTGAGTGGACCTAGGCAACGACAGCCCATCACTGCACATAATTTTCCCTCTCTTTCGTGCTGCAATAATAGAACAACGACTTCCGTGGAGCGCCGAACAGCATTTACTAATCTGTCTTCAGATCTACACCCAGGGGAAGCGCGAAGCCGAGGACACAGACTACATCTACACGCAGTAAACATCTCTCATCATCTGCACTTTGGAACACCGAGGGTGTTCTTCGGCTTTCGTATAACGAAAGCGAGAATGCTGGAGGAATAACTACGGGGATTGTGACCTAAGCGTAGCGCGGCCGCTATAAGCGGACCAAAGACCATTCACTCTTTGATTATGATATAGCCTTAACGCCTTGAGATTGTTGTACGATAATAACTGCTCTCTTGGTGATCACGTGCCGCTGATGTTACATTCACGTCCTGGCTGTGTACGGAATCAGCCCCTTCCGAAGTTCCGGCACGAGCCTAATACGACAGCCCCAAGAATCTGAGCATGGATCTGGCAGGGACCTTGCCAAGTCCCGAATAAGCAACATCAGGTTTTAAGCAACGGATCTCGATATTCAACGCTTTTTAGGTAGTACATATACTGCAAGTTAGCAATTGCTTAGAACACCCCGGCTGTCTTATTATACGATTGCAGCGATTGCTTATCCGGAAGTAGCTCTAAGCGACGTCGGGTTATAAGCATTATTATAGCTCCGCCGGCCGGTTGCTTATAAGTTATAACCAGGTTCACCGGTATTATTGAAAAACAGCGAAGAGACTAGGCTGTACTAGCCTTGCGTTGAGTTTCGCTTATAGGATCAGCTTTGGGAATATGATCCCACCCTTCTCGCATCGCGATGTGTGAAGAAAAGCCAAGCCAATACCCATGCTTCGTCGTGCTTGGTTGAGACATGCTCATCATACTACTGCTCCTCCTCCTCGTCCTCGATGCTTGCTCAGATTATTCCACGGCCGTTGTTCCATACCAATCGTACATATCCGTAAGTACCAGCACCCATCTCTTCGCTGGATTGAAAGAAGCAAAGACTGAAAAAAAACCCCCCATCCTCACCAGCGTCCCGACATCCTCAACCCCGTCCTCAAAATCCACTCCTACAACCCACCCTCCCTCTCTCCAGGCTACATCTTCCTCTCAACATGGTCCTCCGAAGAAACCAGCGACATTCAAAATTCCCCCTACATTTTTTCGAATGATGGTGTAAGTCCAAAAAAATCCGTCTCCATCCCAACTTTTCCAACACACCCCTTCTTCGCCACTAATTTTTTTTTCCTCCATAGGAATTAATCTATACCGGCTACAACCCATCTCTGTCGACGCTCAGATACTTCAATTTCCAATCCCACACCTTCTCCAACGGCACGAGAATTCTATCCGTGGTTCGAGGCACGTCCGATCGCGGTCGAGGACAAGGTCACATTGCTCTTTTCGACGATCGGTATCGCTTACTTCGAGTGATTTCCGCTCCTGATGGAGGAGGGGCGGTTGATTTCCACGAATTCCGGCTCTTTGATGATGGGAAGACGGCGGTTGTGGTGGGGTTGAGAGCTATGCAGGGTGATTTGTCGCAATTTGGAATTCGGGAGGGGGTGGGTTGGGTTTTGGATTCTGTGTTTTGGGTGGTGGATCTTGAGAAGGATAATAAGGTGAGGTTTGAGTGGAGGGCGAGTGAGCATGTTGGGTTTGGGGAAAGTGTTTTGGGGCCGAGTTTGCATCGGTTCGCCGGGATGAGTTGGAAGTATGCTTATGATTTTTTGTGAGTATCACGGATGTGTGCGTGGTTGAGGGAGGGGATGCTGACTGAGTGTGGATTTAGTCATATTAATTCGGTTGACCGGTTCAAGAATGGGGACTTTTTGATTTCCGCACGACATACGGATACGTTATACAGGATCGATGGACGGGATGGGTCGATTGTTTGGAGACTTGGATCGAAGAATTCTTCGTTCCAGCTTCTGGATTTCAACTTCTCGGCACAACATGATGCGAGGATTCTCGAAGAATCTGATGGCAAAGTCGTCGTCAGTCTCTTTGATAATGCGTATAATGGGAAGAGGACGACAAGTAATTCGTCTTCGGCTATCGTGTTCGAAGTGGACACGAAAGCGAATGAGTCCAGGCTGTTGAAGCAATTCTTCCCTACGATCAAGGGTTTGGCGCAGAATCAAGGCTCGATGCAGAACTTACCTGATGGACATACCTTGGTGAGCTGGGGTCTCATTGCTGAATTCTCTGAATTCGATCAGCAGGGAAAGACTGTCTTGGATGTTGCTTTTGCGGAGACGACGACTCGTGCATATCGGGTTCGGAAATTCGATTGGATTGGAAGACCAGATGAGAGTGAAATTGCTCTATATCTTTATGCGAGGACTAACAGTAGTAGTGTCTATTTCTGGATGAGCTGGAATGGAGCTACCGAGGTCAGGAAATGGAGAATGTTGCGAGAGGACGGACGGGTCTTGGACACATGTGATTGGGAAGGCTTTGAGACCGGCTTCGATGTAGAGACGTTCGTTTCAAGTGGCTACGTGGAAGCCGTGGCCGAGGATGGAAAGACTCTGGGTCGATCCAAGGTTGTGAAAACCTTTGTTCCGCCCGAGAGTATGGCGAAGGTCTGTGGCGATATGCATTGCATGATGCAGGTGTTTCCTTCGAAGGCAACTGCGGTCAAAGATTCTGCCAAAGGTCGGAAGCGTGGGCTGCTGCTATCAAGTTGTAATACAGCTTGGGATATGACTTGGCTGAGCATGGTTTCTGGCGTTTTGATCGGATTTCTGGCGTCTAGAGTCAGATGGTCGACCATTATCAACATTAGAATTATTACGGCACTGCTCGAAAGATTCAGAGTAGGATAAGAATGTTCAGGACTCAGTTCCATTGCGACACCTTCCCCTTCCACCTTCCCACCCCACCATCCCCTCCCCTCCCATCCTCCACCAGAACCGGCTCCGGAACCAGATTCCTATACCTCAACCTAGGAATCCTAACACTACTCCTCAAATCCCCGACTCGATCATGTTCACACTCCAAAATCCATTTCCCACAAACAGGACACTGTCGATCAGCATAAAACCTTTGACTCCGACAACTCTGCCTAATGCCCCTCCACCGCAATTCCCTCTCGGTTTCTTCACCGGTATAGCCGCAGGGCACGAGGGGTTGGTCGATGGTGCGGTCACAACATGTTCGTTGGGGACAAGGTGTTGAGGAGGAGATGTGGGAGGAACAACAGCAGGGGTTGGGGTCTGTGTTGGAGGGGATGGAGATGGTGTGGGATGTTGTGAGGGAGTAGAGTTGTTCCGGGTCTGTGGTTGGGGATTTGGTAGAGGGGGAGGGGGATGCGGTGTTGTTGTACTCTGTGCGTTTTTGGATTCTGGCATCCAGGGTTGGTGTGCCGGTGGGTGAATCTTGGGTGCAGGGCTCGGAGACGGCGGAGACAGTTGTGGTTTTTGTGAAGATTAGGGGTGTGCCTAGGTCTAAAGAGGAGATGGACGAGCCTGAGCTTTGAGACCAGGTATCGAATTCTCGGGGTGAAGGGGTTTTGTTGGGGTCGAATTTGAAGCGTGGTGGAGGGGGTTTGTCGTAGGTCCTGCCGGTGGAATGGTCGATGTAGTGTAGTCGCTGGCTCGCTGGATCGGTGTAGAATGACCAGCCTAATGGAAGCTCATATGTCGATGCTGCAGAATTTTTGTGGTCTTCGCCTCCGAGATTCTTTAGGTATCTGAGCATCTTCCCTGTCGTGTTGCTGGCACCCCGGC